TTCCGAGAACGGATAGGATCCACCCCGGCAAACTTCAACCGGGCGATAAGGCCAATGAGATGATTTCATTACACATCGCGGACCCCGACTCCGGCGCCACCCTCCATCGGGTCTAGAGCGCTGACTTTGCAGCTGTCAATTGACGAGTCAATCTCGCCTGTTTGCTTCCCCAGGTGTTCTGGCTGCAGTGCTCCTTGAGTCCTTGTCGCTGCCACGCCCTTCATGCGTTCATGGCTTAGCGAGCAACGGCAACCCCATCCTATTCCCGGCGGGGACCAACAGCCAGCAAAAACTCAAACACGCCCAACACGCGCTTCGGTTCGGAGAACTCGAGAGAGTATTTGCTTGCCTCCCGAAGCCCTCTGCTTGCCAAACAGCCATATCCCCGCGGGGTCTTACTCTACACGGCTTTTGGATGAGATCCTCTTGATGATTCAGGGCTCTAGCTTTGTCAACCATATTACCTCCGAAGACGTGAGTCAATCGAAACAGAATAAACGGTCTTCGGCCCGCCGAGAAGCGAACTAAATAACCCCGCGAAACTCGATCAAACCCGTCACTACTTGCCGAGGCAGCTGGCGTATTTCTCTCTTTTCCCTTTCCGAAACCTGCCTCTGCCTTGTCGCAAAACTTCCATCTCCCAGTTTGACAAGCACGAAACTTGCACCTTTGCGTCTTGTCGCTGGGGCCCGGTATGCCTTCTCACTCTGATTCTTCCAGTCAACAGGACAGCCACGATGCCGTGGTACGGATGCCTGACAGTGCTTCCAGGGCAGCGGAGAATGAGAAGAATGGCTCTGCGGCGGCAAGCCCTGTCAGTCAACGCCCGAGTGAGCAGGTAGAATTCAAAGAGGGCGGCTATGGATGGTGAGTTGCGCTCCAAAAGGCCATCACAACATGATGAGGCTTGAGCCGCTGACATGATACCAGGGTTGTCGTAGGCTGTGTCTTTCTCATCAATGCTCATACCTGGGGCCTGAACTCAGTGAGTTATCCTTACGCGCCCTTCCTTTCACTTCGGGAAGCATGATTCTCACACCAAAATCTAGACTTATGCCGTGTTCCTCGCCTACTACCTCAACTCCGGAGCGTTTCCCGGCGCAAGCCCAATTTCACTCGCTTTCGTTGGCGGGCTGTCCTTCTCCGTCGGTAAGCCTTCTCTCCAATCTCTAAACTTCTGCGCGTCATCTCACTCACTCGCCACAACCAGCCCTTCTCATCGCCCCGATTGTCACCTTTTGTATCCCTCGCATCGGCACGCAACCGACTCTCGGCATCGGCGTCGTGATTCAAGCGTAAGCCGGCCCGCTATCCCCCTCTCAACACCCGACGTCTTCCGAGACGGACGGAAATTCCGCCACCCGTGTTCCTAACACAATTTCCAGGGCCGCTCTCATTGGCGCATCGTTCACGACCCAGATATGGCACCTCCTACTGTCCCAAGGCATCGGCTTCGGCGTCGGCATGGGATTCACCTTTAACTCCACCGTCGGAGTGGTCCCGCAATGGTTCGTCGCGCGCCGCTCCTTTGCAAACTCCATCGCTACGGCTGGCTCCGGCCTGGGAGGTCTCATTTACTCCCTTGCTTCCAACGCCATGATCCGCAACATCGGCCTGCCCTGGGCGTTCCGAATCATCGCCATTTTGTCGTTCGTTGTCAATGGCGCGTGTTGTCTGATGATGAAGGACCGAAACAAGGCTCTCGGCAGCGTTCATGTCGCGTTTCACAAGGACATCTTTAAGAGGATCGAGTTCTGGTTGTTTGTCGCGTGGGGTTTCTTTGGACTCTTTGGATACGTCATTTCCGTGTTCTCACTGGCGGACTATGCCCAAACAGTCGGGTTCAGTGCTAGCCAAGGGTCTATTGTGTCGGCCATGTTCAACCGTAAGCTCTCCTCCCCATCCGACATATTCCAGTCAAAGTCAAGCTAAATGTTTCTCTCAGTATCACAAGGTATTGGCCGCCCGGTCATCGGCCTGGTGAGTGACCGCTTTGGTCGCATTAACGTAGCTGGCCTAGGCACCATCATCGCCGGCCTCGCCACGTTCTTGCTCTGGATCCTCGCCGCCAAACACTTTGCAGGTCTCATTGTCTTTGCCCTCTTTGGCGCATTCGCCGGCGTGCTCTGGCCAACAGTCGCACCGGTAGGCGCTGAGGTGGTCGGAATGCAGCTGCTTCCATCAGCTCTGTCTATCTTCTGGATCATCCTCGTTATCCCAGCAACGTTCGCCGAGCCCATAGCTCTGACAATCAAGGGCTCCGGACTGAACGCGTACCTCCCTGTTCAGCTGTTCACGGGATTTATGTACGTTGCGGCGTTCATCTCTAGTAAGTTGTTGCAAATCTTTCCATCTGGCAAGCTGCTTCGTTTGACTAACTGCTCTTAGTTTGGTTTCTTCGCGTGTGGAAAATACGCGAACTTGAGACCTTGGCCCTATCAGAAGAAGAGCAAGACGACGCTCTTCGCAACAATGATGCTGTCTCACTTACCACTTCACGGCGTACTGGGCCTAAGCCTGGTATGATGAAGTCACTGCTCAAGGGCATGCTTACTATCCAGCGAGTGTAGTGGTCGAAAATAAAAGCATTAAAGAATCATGCATTGTCCTGAGCGGCTGGTTCATGTCTATTGTAATCTATTAACGCTACTTGTAAATAAACTGATAGTTCTCACACGCTTGGGACAACCCTCCAAGCACCCGGAATGAAACTAGCCATCAGTCCAAAGATGACTCTCGGCAGAATCTCGGGCCCATATCTCGAGAAACCCGCCTTGGCCATTCCAGACGTGACACCAACGGCACTGGTCTCCTTGTACGCCTCCTCGGTTGCCAGCTCCGCAAACGCCGCACCAAGATCCGGATACGAACACGCGAGGCCAACCGACTCCGTGCTGATCGTGTGACCGCTCGCCTCTTCGTCGATGATGGCGGGCGGCTGCACCAACAACAGTAACAACAGCTCCGGTTCAGCCTGCAGATTTGCGTGCGCCTTGCGCAGGTCCGCATAGGGCCAGTAAAAGGCGTTCTGGATCATCCATCGCACAAGCCATGGCTGCCTCGCGGAGAATCGCTCGTTCCAAGTTGCGGAGGAGAGGAGGATGAACCATGGCTTCTTCCAGTCTGCTCCCCCTTCCTGTTTGAGCTGTCTCAGTGCCGAGACGATTGTTGTTGTTGAATCCTGGAGTACGCTAACGGTTGGCTTGTTATCGTTCTCGCCCAGGGCGCAGATGATTGTGTCGGCGCCGACGAGACATGATTTGACGCGGGCCTCGTCGGTGACTTGACCCTCGATAATTTCGACGCCGTTATCTGTCTTGAATTGTGGAAAGGTCTTGATGAGCTTTTCGCGGGAGCGGACAAAGATCTTCATGTGAGCGAAAGGATTTGTGGGCTTGGCAAGAAGGGCTTTCAGCGTCTCGCTCCCGGTGCGGCCGGTCGCGCCGAAGATGGCCAGGGTTCGGCCTGAAGTTGATGGCTTTGAATTGGATGGCATGTTGGGTATTCGGGGTTAAGGTTAGCCTTTTCGTGAGAGTTTACTAAAAGCTTGGTCGAGAGATTGCTAGATAGACTTGCGGGCCTCGTGCCTATTTATCGAAAACTTCTCTGTTGAACACAATGATGCCACGCCGGCATGGCAAACATCAAAGTCGGTGTCCATGCCGGCCCCTTAGTTGTCACCGATCGGAACGGGACCGCCCCGGACATTTATAAAAAGTTGGCCCGCTTGGGAGATTTCAACATCTGAAACAGATAAGAGAACAGGACCCATCGTTATTGATTGGCAAACAAAGTGCGCAAACTTAGTACGCTACTACGGTAATAGGCACGGCTCGAGACCGTGCGGGTTGGCATGTCTTAGCTCCCGGGATCTTCGTCATAGACTTTAGACGCAGTGCAACACCACCAAGTAACACGCATTCTGGAATCAAGCAAACAAGCGTCATTCTTAACAGCAACGCGTGGGATTTATGTGGCTATGTAACTCACCCCCAGATGCCATAAGTCTTGCGACCTATGGTTCCGTTACCATGTGATTTCGAGTGTGTGAGGTTTTGGGTCGGTGGACGGCGGCTGAAATGTCCGCCGTGAAAGTCCGTCTTTTGTCCGGTCGCCGCATCATTTTTTTCTCGGTGGCTGAAAAAGCTTGTACCGACGACGAGTCGAGCCGAGCCGAACATTAGCTGACTTGTAGTCTTATCGGCGCCAATTCCCCATGATAGCGTACTCGAGCCTTCGGCGAGGCACGGAAGCAATATGCCTCCATTGACGTGAAGGGCTCCGTCTCTCGCAGCACATTGGTTGCCAACCTATGTGATAGTAAGAACTTGGAGACTCTAAGTCAGCCCCGTCACAGCTTTGAGGTATCTCAGGAAATACAATTATTCCCCACTACCAGCTACAATACCGAGGTAACCCTATTTCGAGTTCAGCGCTTCGGAAGGGTACGTAGATCTTCTGCCAAGCCGTCATTCGCTGCACATAATTTCCAGAATCGCCATCAAAATGTGCTCGGCATCGCGTCATCTGGCAAGTAAAGACCGAGAATACATCTACTAACTAATTAGGCGATTGAGGTTGTCTGAAAGTACTCGATGCGTTGCAGACACATGGACAGATTGCCATTTTCACACTCAGCACTCGAATGTCAGATATTAATCAAACTAGAAAAGAAAAGCTTCTCAAGGCACTTTAAGGTTATTAGAGGGGAAAGAAGCAATCGGCTGCAGGCAGACGCAAAGTTTTCTTGAGAATGTTTTTGCATTGATTTGCTTGTTCTTATTATCCATCCCAACGGAAGATAGTTTCAACATCCAGCAATTGCGTGCGCGGCGCCTAGGGTAAATCTCACCCCAGGGCACTAGGGACGAAAGTGATGGTAACAATGACCAAAGACCTAGGTTTATTGAGTAAGGCATAGGACTTCTATTTGTCGGGAGTGAAGCGCTTACCATTTGATGAAGGCTCGAAGTCAATTGGAAGCTCGCATCGCCGATTGCTCAAGGGCAAGAGCTTCCAATGCAGAAGTACTCGCCGTTACCAATAGGCTTGCAGCTGCAGCCGCGAGCCTGGATATCAACGTCTCTTTTAGTCATCGCAGGCGTAGGGATGAAGTCCTTGGGGCAAAGTCTGCCGCTGCAGAACCACTCATTGCCGATCTTGTGGCATGAGCACTGTCTAGCGACGAGCTCGGCCTCGGGAGCGGGAGCTGCAGCTGCAAGGGCGGCGAAGAGGGTGGTGAAGGTGAGGATTGAGAACTTCATTTTGATTTGTTTTGGTGAGTTGACTAATTGATGGAGAGAAGTAGTTGGATGTTTTTGAGGTTAGGAGTTGTTGAGAAGTTGCAATTTCCTGCACCGATGACAACAGAAAGGAGACTATTTATGTTTCAATGGCAACTCAGGATCTACGACTATCTTATATCTCAATTGGGTAATACAAAGTCTAGAAATCGTTTCGGCTTGTTTTCGTTTGCCCTTGGCGCCTTGAACCTTTGCGAGCTTCCCATTCTGGCCAATACTCGTATGCAATTCAATTCTCAGCTTCGCCCAGTTTTGCTGAGACTGGAGTTATCTTACCGCTATCTTGTCTCAAGAACTTGGGGTTGTTTACGAATGATTCTGCTGATTGGGAGAAGCGCTTTTCGAAGGATCACGCATGTGGTGGCCTTTTGCGCAGCTGTGCCTCTCAAAGTGGCACAACCATACCCGATACAGCAGGTCGTTAAAGCAGATCCGCGATTAGTATTGCTAGTGTTGCCTTCAAAGGCTTACGAAATATGAGAACTGCTTAGTTCTTTTGAAAGAAGTCTCCCACGTCGGGTGCTCATATCAAGGTTGTCAACCTGTCGTGGGAACTTTCGACCTCATAGTCTGTGTTGTGGAGGTTTGGTGGTGGACTACCGCTCGCTGTACGATCAATTGTGACTTGGGTATGGGGGCGGGAGCTGAATTATGCCAAGCAACGCTATCCAGAAGGCCTCAATCAGACCAATAGAGACTGGAGCTGTCAGACTGTGTTCCAGACTCTACCAAGGGCCCAGTCTAGAATTGCATCAAGTCGGAATTCCGCGAAGTCGCCAAGCCCTATTACATGCGTGACTCGTGAGATGCCAAGCAGTAGGTTAATGCACTTCAGAGGCGCAGAATACCACATTCTCGTTTGGAACCATGCTCTTTGCACGATGCGATCTTGCAGTGGTGCTCAGTAAGGACTGAATCATTCGAAAGTTTACCGATGAGTCGTACTAAAAATGACCACACATGATCGTCGTGTAGAATTGAACGCGTCCACTCCGTCTGCCTTCGCAGCCTGTGGGCTATTATGCCCCAAAAGCCGCCAAACTATCCTCGAACATCTCTCTCTGACTTGAAAGATGCTTCGGGATTTCCTTTTACTCCAAAACCTCCAACTCAAACTCCCGAACCAAGATGCTACCACCCAGACGAGTCTTTGCCCAGTTGAAGACGCTGAATCGATAACCCATGAAGAAGAACCACTCATCGTTCAGCTCATACACTGGTCCAAGCTGTTCAAAGTTATCACCGTCGGTGCTAAACCAGAACGTAGCATTCGGCCACGCGCTCGATCCGGCGACGGGCGGTGAAATGTCGGCCTTAATACGGAGCCACAGATCGCCGCCGGAGATAGTAGGTCCTTCCGCCTTGACATAACCGTTCGAGGTTGTCACCCAGTCCGTCAATGAGTCTCGCATGACCATGCTGATCTCATCAACGTACACAAGCTTAGACACGCCATCAACCTTGTGGATTCCGATATAAGCGCTCAGTTGGCGCAGTGCTGCTACACCTGCTTGGTCTCCGTCCACCATTTCAGAAATATCAAGGCGAAACGTGGCCTGGCTTCTGGGTCCGATGATGCGCTGGGTGAGGGTGTTGGCGGCTCCGTACAGCCCCTCGCATACCGTTGCGGTGTGGAGTGTGACTCCATCGGGCCCCAGGCCCCAGGCGTCGTTGTTGGGGTTGTGATTCCACTCCCAGCGGGGGTTCAACGCGTCACCCTCGAACTTGTCGACATAGGATCCAACTCCCTGGACTGTCTTCGAGGTTGTGACTGGCATCGCGTACTCGACACCCCAACCACCGTCTGCATCTGTGACCACTGAAGGCCAACCTTCGGCGTCAAACTCGACAGGGGCGAGAACGGGAGCACGGCCACCGGGGTACGCGTCGATGAAGGCCATGTAATACCACTTACCGTCCTCAGTCGATACGAGACCACCCTGATGCGGCGCTGCTGCACCCTCGACGGGGGCCTTCATCTGCGCAATCACCTGTCGAATTTCATATGGACCCCAGGGACCCGACGTAGACTTCAGAACATGCTGCTCATCGCCGGGCTTCGTAACCCAGATGTAATAATTTCCATTGATGTGGTAGAATCTCGAGCCCTCAATGTACCTGTGGGCATCTTCAGTGTACACAAGCTAGTAAGGGTCAGTATCTGCAGTGCAGAATAGGCTACGACGTTTTGCCAACATACCTCATTGCGGACCTCGGTAAAACCATCAGGAGATAGCTGCGCAAGGCGGATGTCGACGGCACCGTAGGCGATATACATGGTGTCATCGGTATCAATCAATAAGCCGAGGTCGTAGTAACATTTCGGAATGGGGTCGTGATGAGTCCACGGCCCCTCTGGGCTAGACGCAGTGTAGATATGCGTCTCATCCGTGCCTTGGATGCAGCCATACCAGTAAAATACACCGTTGCTTTCGCGATATCCCAGGGAAGAAGCCCAGACGCCGTTGACGTAGCCCGCACTGTCACTGCCATTAAGTGAGAACTTTGAACCAGGAAGCTCAGGCACCGAGTGCGAGACGAACTCCCAGTTCACGAGGTCGTGGGATCTGAGAAGTGGTGCGCCGGGAGAATAGTGCATTGTCGAAGCACTGTAGTAGTACGTGTCTCCGACTCGGAAGACTTCAGGGTCGGCGAGGTCGGCCCATATTACCGGGTTGGAAAAGGTGGCTTCCTGGCGGGGGACCAGTGCCTGGCCGACTTGGCTGAGGCCAAGAAGGGCGAGTGAGAAGACAGTAGACACACGGAGTGTCATAGTGACTGGTTGAAGGTGACGAAGAAATTTTCTTGGGTGTTTCCAGGCCAGGAACGAAAGGCATGAGGGTGGAGAACCTCGATGCTTATTATCTTCCGTGAGGATTAAGTTCAGTGATTTATATATCAGCATTTTCCAGCTCCCGATCAAAGGTTAGACATTGGATCTAGCCTCAACATATTTCGATTTGAATTTTAGGCAGAACTATCAGCCTCTCTAGACGCTCAATTGCTAACATCGTGCAGAGATCGTCCGAAGCGGCAGAGTCGGCTACCGGATCAGACGCCAAGATCCCGAATGAAGACGAAGTAAACAGGATGGCCACCACTTTCGCCGAGTATGATCCGATACCATGCTGTCTCCGGATTTGCGACCCAGTCCTCTGCTTTCCGATGATTCATGGAGGAACATATGATTTTGTAACCTTAAGAAGATCCAACCGCAAGTCAATCATAAGATCGGGAGGATGAAGTCGATGAACTATGCGGGGTGCATGTGCAACTGTGTAGCTTTCGGCAATGAAATAATACTAGCGAGCCACCATTCCAGCGTGGTATTCGACAGTGTGGTAAAATGCTTTTTGATTTAGCCGGATGCATGAGATGGGCACTCTGGGCCAAGCGGAGCGGGCCGCCTGTCAAGCACGTTGCGCTTCTGTTCCATTATTGGTTCGGGAATCGGCTAAAACATAGTTGTTTGTAAGCTTAAACGGCTCTCATCTACTTAAGCGATGTATTGCAGCTGGTAGATCATTCAATCATGAAAGCCTTGCTCCATGATCCTTGATCATTGTCACCAGACCTGCCCTGTCTTGCTCTGCGCGTTCCTGCGACGACTTTCAGTGGTATCAGGGGCTGCATGCCTCAGGACTCGATGTAGAGACTGATTGCGGGGAAGAACTTCCCCACACAGAAGCAAATCGATCATTCCTTGCATCATGATGCTTTCTGACAGGCAGATCATTTAGCCGATGTTTGTGTTACTGCGTTATGCATTTCAATAGTGGGAGTGAAGTTCGGCAAGGCAGAATGGTGAATCCACTTGCTGAAATGCCGGGCATCATGTGATATGACCTGGTCTTTCTCAAACCTACAGTAATTCTCATAGGGTATATAGTTTGACAACTAGACCACGCCCACTTTGTCTGAGCTGTCAATACGCCTCTTCATCGCCTCGAGTATCTTGTAACTTTCCAACTCTTTCCAAATGATCTCTCACTTAGGCCGTTTCGTCCTAGGACTTTCTCTCAGTTTTTGGGCAGCTCTAGTAGCAGCTGACAACTCAACATTCTACAACCCAATCCTACCCGGCTGGCACTCCGATCCATCATGTGTCCACGTTGATGGCACCTTCTACTGCGTCACCTCAAGTTTCATCACTTTCCCTGGTCTACCAATATATGCCTCCAAAGACCTGCTCAACTGGAAGTTGATAAGTCATGTGTGGAATCGACAAAGTCAAATGCCCAACGTTACTCAACAAACCAAAGGCATGGCAAATGATGCCTTTCAATAGGCCATTGAACTTCTTGAATCTTCACTAACGTTCAACTCAAAGGACAACAAGAAGGCTTCTACGCCGCAACTATTCGGCACCATGATGGCGAGTTCTGGGTTGTGTGCGAGTACCTCGGCCTGCCCGACGGAATGTTGGGAACGGTCTTTAAAACGAACAATCCGTTCGATGGAGCAAGCTGGAGTGACCCTTATACATTCCTGACACCCAACGGAGATCTGGATCTTTTCTGGGACGACGACGGAAAATTATACATCCCGGGAGGCGGCCACGTTCTCCTTGACGTCGACCTCGAGACGGGGACGGTTGTCAACAACACGTTCCTTTGGGGCGGCACCGGTGGTGTTTGGCCTGAAGGCCCTCACATTTACCGCAAAGATGGATGGTACTACATCTCTGCCGCCGAGGGTGGGACCGAGACTGGGCACTACCAGGTCGCGGCCCGATCTTCCAGTCTGACGGGCCCGTATGAGCCGTGCCCGTACAACCCGGTCTTGACCAATAAGGATACCGATGACTATTTTCAGGTAGGCATGCCATATTTCATGTATTGCAATTTTTGTCTAGCTCTGACTTTGGACAACAGACTATCGGCCACGCAGACCTGTTCCAAGACTTTGCTGGAAACTGGTGGGGTGTCGCGCTAGCCACCCGTTCCGGGCCAGAATGGAGAATCTACCCCATGGGTCGCGAGACGGTCCTGTACCCAGTCACCTGGCGCGAAGGCGAGTGGCCGATACTGGAACCCGTCAGAGGCAAAATGTCGGGTTGGCAAATGCCCCCGGCATCTAGAGATCTCCCCGGAGACGGCCCATTCAACTCGGACCCCGACGCGTACGATTTTACGGCACTGGGTGTTATCCCTCGGAATCTCATCCACTGGAGGGTTCCAAATGAGGGCGCCTTTTCGATTGATAGCTCGAGGGGGCTCCATATTGTGCCTAGTCGCGCGAACCTCACGGGCGATAATGCGGATCTGGACGGCCGTTCGGGGCTATCTTTCATCGGACGACCTCAGACGGACTATCTCTTTACCTTCGAAGCCGTCATTGATACACTGACCGCTGACGTAGACCAAGAAACTGGCGTTACGTTGTTCCTGACGCAGTTCAATCACGCCGATGTTGGGGTAGTGGTCCTCCCCAAGACAGATGGCTCCGAAGGAAACGACCGCATGCTACGCTTCAGGGCAACGGGAGAAGATGCCCCCGCGGAGAATATCGTCAAGATGCCTGAAGCGTGGATAGACGACTCGATTCGCTTCCAGATCGCCACAGTCAATAGCACTCACTACACGATGGCCGCATCTCAGGCTTCTCAACCGGACCAGCAAGTTGTCATGGGTACATTCTCGGCAAGATTAGTCAGTGGCCAGAGTGGCCCTTTCACCGGATCGTTGGTCGGCGTCTACGCTACCTGTAACGGCGCTGGCTCAGGAGTCGAGTGCCCTTCCGGAGGTGATAGTTGGGTGAAGGAATGGCATTACGAAGGTAAAGGTCAATACTACACTGCAACCGACCTTATCCCAGAGTAAGATGTGTTGGTAAACCTGAGGTTAAGGTTGTATACTTTAAAGCTGTGATTCATGAATCATCTGTTGTCCTCATCTCTTTGTTGGCCTGCTTCCAAATTTCTTTCATCGTGACTTCTCCTTCTGCGCCTCTCCATTTCCTCCCATCCAAGTGCCGGAGACACAACTGTCTTCCTTCATCAGGATAAAACAGCCAACAAGCCCACCGCAACCACATGCCCTGCTCCTTCATCTGCGTCCGCGCCCGATGTCCAATCGTGTCCTCGATAAACGCCCCTCTAGGTATCGCCAGCCGCGTCGGAAAGACACGCGTCAAATAGTGCTCCGTCGCTGCGATGTGGGGCTTATCATGCCAAAAGAACATCGGCGTCAACGGCACCTCCGCCTCCGGATATAATTCTGGCGTAAAACTCCTCTTCAGCTTGTTTGTCAACGTTCTAAGATGAGGGAACTCTTGCGCGTGAGCAGTCTCAGCATACTTCAGCATCCGAACCGAAGCAAGACAAACATATTTCACCGGGCTCTCCTCATCTGCGTCCTGCGTCCTCATGACATCCAGTATTGGGCCCACGGGGATGTCGTATACGAGTGTCCAGTCGTGCTGATGGACCCAGACGTACGGTGTTGTCGTTATTCTCAAGGCCGTCCGCACTGCTAGACCGAAACCAAGCCTCTCTGACGGCTCTACGAAAGATACACGAAGGTCTTTCGTCTGGCTTACGGTGAACGTGGCCGAATTTGTCGTTACGGTCGCCGCTCGTCCGTTGTAGCCATATTCTGCCTCCCCTTGCTCTTGACTCAACTCGTCAAGTCTCTCATGTGGGTCGTATTCCCTCAGCACGAGCTTCTTTACGTTGTCTTTGTACTCTGCATACTCCTCCGCGCCCTTTTCCGTCACCTGGCCCTTCTTCAACCTTGGAACGTCTCCGATGCGCTCATACGTGTCCAGTACAACAATGATGCGGCACGATAGCAAGTCACTGCAGTGAAGGCGGATAGATTTGAAGACCGCATCCAAGAGTTCTGTCGAAGGCGCGGACGGGGTTGGCGACGTGGTTATTATCAGCGTCAGAAGCTCTGGGACTGATGCCGACGCTGGCGGTGCAGGGGTGGAGGGCATGACGATGCCCACCAAGCGGGTGTATGAGAAGAGGAGTGGAAATGTCCCGTCGAGATCCGATGGGTGACGTCGAGAGGTACGTATCTGGTCGGAATTGAGACTTTTTTCGGCGAAGTGGGGCACCACGCCGGAGCGTCAAAAAATTGTTAGTCACGGCGGCCGGTAGAAGATTGTGTGGTTTGCCGCGCAACAAGGCAGCTTTCATGCGTTCAAAACATCGAGATACAAAAATAACTCCCGTGGCATGTGCTTAGGACGAGTTTTCGTTGCAGTAATCGTGTTCTTGTAACTACCGTTTAACACTGTTTAGCGGCGCCTGAGCGTTGAAGGCCACTTCCGGCCCCGACTAGCAAGCCCTGACTCGGCGGGGGCGCCGGACCCGCAACCCGCGCAAAAATTTCAAACCCGGCATTCAGGATGCAGAATTTTCAAAAGATTATGACCAGCCTGGGGGTCGAACCCAGAATCTCCTGATAGCATGTTTAATCGTAGTCAGACGCCTTGCCATTGGGCCAACCGGCCATGGTTGTTTGAATCCATTGCTGGATGTTGATGGGAGCGGCCAGATTGGGCTATATGTAGCCTGCCTGTGAGAGAGAGTATCACGGTCTGAGCCTTCCGCATTACAACCACGCATCGACCGCTTTACATCTAATTCACCTTCGAGCAACCTCCTGAAGGCCGACACAAAGTTTGATAAATCAAACCAAAGGCTCTTTCAATTCTGTTACCACCGGGTATCTCAATCAGCCAATCCCAAGAAACTCCAATTCACATAACCATTCCAGGAAAGACCTCATACCCAATCCTGAACCTCAGACCTTCTTCTTCCAAGCACTCAAAAAGAAGAACCCCCCACAAATCTCCGACGTCTGCGCACCAGTGCAGTGCATATCGCAATTCCACGCCGGCGCAGCTGTCGTCGGCGGCGTCCGCGAACAGTAACACTGGTCCCCAAACTCGGTGCCAAAGTACTCGTAACCAGAACACACCCCCGCGCAGAGCCGGTTCGTCTGGTCGTCAATCTGCGTGAACTTGTCCGGGAACACGCGGTTCGAGGTGTCCTCATAGCAGCCAATGTATTCCCAGTCCACTACCTGAACCCATGTCGTCGTCGTTGCGGGTGCCGCTGTTGTTGAGGTGCCGTTGGTGTCCGGGTCGGTTGTTCTGTGACGGGTGTTTAGTATCAAAGCCCCAGCCAGTGTTGGTCGAGGTGTTTTGAGGGGAATACTTACTTTGTCGCTGCCACATCCTTGAGATCTAAGATTTCTGAGCTCTGTCTTGCGAGCATGCTCCCAAATACCCCCGCGACGATAGCCAGTAGCGCTAGAAGGAATCCCAGTATACACCAGAGCATGAACATCACCGAGCTCATGCCACATATCCTCCTCTTCGATGCCGCTTGTTCTTGAGGATGGCTAGACATTCCATTGCCGGGTACTTGGTTATACTGGTGATAATACGGCGCGCCTACAATCTTGTCTGGCTCCGGCACCGGATGAAGACCATTCTCAACGTACGAATCGTCAATGACTTGTGACTGGCTGTAATTCGTATTCGTATTATGTGCCGTACTCGCATCAGATCCTGTTGGACTGACGTTGTAACCTCCCGTCTGCTGCCCGTAGGAATGGTCCATCTCGTGTGCTTCGTCTCGCCAACTTCCACCGGACCGTCGGGTGTGGTTGATATCGAGCAACGCCTTCTGCTCGGGTGACTGCATTCAATCGTCTAATTATCAAAGTACGATGGGGAGAAGAGTATCGCTATGAGGTGATGTCGATGAGGCTCATGAGAAACAGAAAGGGAAACAACTCCAGACCCATGAAATAGCTTTCTCAAGCAAAACAGATCCGCACAGGTTTCTTAAGAAGCAGCTTAACTGTCACCAGAGCTAGTGCTAGGCAGCCGAATCACAGAGCTGGGGGCCAACCGTCGCTCACGTAGGATTCCATCCCTTGCCGGAACCGCGCGCCACTGCCACGACGCTACCAATCGCGGTATCTCGAGAATCGCGTAAATCTTTAGACTCCCGTGCCGTCAGCACCAAGAGCTCTGCCGGCTTACAATACCCCCGGGCCCTGAGGACAACTAGAGAGCTGAAAGCCACAACAACCGCCACTGGAGCTCTCGCGGAGGTAAAGGGTTCCCGGCAGGACTGCGGAAAGACTCCGCGCATGTTGGTTGCAACTTTGCCTCGCTCAATGTTGATCCTCTCCCAAAATCAGCCTTACGAGAGATGACAATACGCTTGGCATTGGAGGCTTGAAACGACGTACTAATCCCTTTTGATGTCTGCTCATTTCCCGGCTACGCCAACCTCCATTCTCAAGAGACTGTCAGCTCGCGGGTGATTTTGGTGTTTAAGCTCATCTGCCTAGAGTGGATTAAGCATATTTACTAGCGTTCGCCACCTGGACCTCAATCGCTTTGACGTGCTCGAAGCTGCCGGGAAGGAAAATACCATCTTGGAGAGTTCTTTCATCCACATAAGGTAACTTTCTTTTTACACTATTGTTCAGCACCTTGCTGTATTTGATCGAGAGCTCTCCGTCTTGCGTTCTTTACTTGAACCAACCTGGCATCCAACGTAGTGGCAGCAACAACGCCGTCTCGGCTCAGGTGGGAGGAGGGTACTCGACTTACTTTTGTCTACGTATGTGCACAGAGCGACATCCACACCAGATCCTTCTAACGTATAGCAACTGACGAGAGTAGCATCTATGCCTCTTAACCTCTACTACGATTTCATTCATCTCTGAATTCTAAATTACACTTCAAGATTCTGTCTTCAGCGTGAAGCGTCAGCCATCATGATCATGACCATCGCCTGCTCAAGCCATGCATCTACAGAAAGGTTGAGAATAGCAGGGCTCTCACGTCTGACATGCATGCCCCATCAGCACTAACCCCGCCACCAATTTACCACTCCCGAAGCCAACTTCTCCGCCTCGACCTTGCTTCTAAATTAACCCGTCATCATACCTATCAGTTCCTCTGATGGCATGTATTAAAAAGCTCCTAAATCACCGCCAAGAGCAATAAACCACATACCCTCGTACAAAACCATCATTCCAAGCGGCAGGGAGGGGGAGAGGCCCGGGCTGCACCAACAAAACAATGGCCTTCTTCCTCCGCCACCTAACAGACCCAACCTCCATCGCACAAGAACCATCCCTGAGCAAAGTCGTCCAACACGTCCGGGAAACAGCCGTATGTCTCGCCGTCCTCGGCCAAGTGGACCGCGGTACCGGTCTGCTGACGATCCTCCACGCGCACGGCATCCCGCCGTTTGACCTCCGGGAATTCGGGCCCGAGGTGTTTTCGGAGGACTTTTCCCGGTGCCGGAGCCTCGGCAAGGGATGCGACGACAACGGCGATGGATCCGGCACGTATGAGGTCCCCGTGAACCCTCCGCGCGCAGACCCATTTACGCGCATCGTCTTTGCGTTTGCGTGGGAACATGTCGGGCGGTGGCCGCGGTGGGCTACGCCCGTCCCGAAGCCGTTTTCTTCTTCTTCTTCTTCTTCTTCTTCTTCTTCTTCTTCTTCTTCTTCTTCTTCTTCTTCTTCTTCATCCTCGAACGATGGACAGCAGTATCATTCATCTTCAGACAACGGCTGTGATACGGCGCTCGACGCCCTGGAGCGCTACGCTCGCACTCTAGTCTGCAACCGCTTCGCCCCGCCCTGGCGCGAAGACGAAGAAACCTACGAACTCGCCCGCGAGCTGGCGCTGGGGCAGGACAACAGGGCGAACCCGCACGGCCCGATCCCGATGCGTCTGGCCGGGTTCTGGGGTCTCTGGGAGCGCATGCTGGCGCCGTGGCAGATGAATCAGGTTGTCAAGGCTACGGGGCGGGTGTTGGCGCTTGATCTCTCTGTGAGGTTGTTTCGTGATGCGGTGGATGGTGGGGAGGCGAGCAATGATGGTGGTGGTAGCAGGGTGGAAGAGAATGTGTATCGACCCGAGGAAGAGGTCCTCGTCGAAGAATTCCTTGCAGACGAGGCCGAAGAGGATGAAGAAAGGGTTAATGACAGCTGTGAAAGCAGCACCCATGCAAGCGAAGAAGAAGAAAGCGTCATCGAGCTATGGGGAAGAACGATAGCGACCCTCCATTCCGCACAGGACCAGATGTCTATGCTAGGCAGTATGCGCGAACTATGGCGTTACGGCTGGTTCACGGATCCCTTCAAGAACGCCCTCGTCAAGCACCTAGAGATCGACCTCACCCATATCCGCGAAGTCGCAGACGCCGGGTGCGAGATGCTCCGACAGCGACTGGAGCGCAGCCCGGTGCGACCGTATGAGGGGTACACCATTGCCGAGCTCGCGCGCGCAATCGACGAAAACACTAGATCATGTGCGCCGTATGCCCCCGACGAACTGCGCGGGCGGGATGATATGCTCGTCGAGAGGACGGTTATGGGGCCGGTGGAGCTCGATAAGGACAAGATCTTTCGTCCTGAGACGTTGTTTCGCTACCCAGTCCCCTCTCACCAGGAAATCCAGGATCTGGAGAGAAGGCTTGAGCTGAGTGCCCCGTTACCGGATCAGTACAAGGCATTTTTCCGCGTCACAGACGGGATGGGGCCGGTGTGGTGGAATACATCGCAGCACCTCCGCATCCTAGCCCCGCTATCCAAAGTCACCGTCCAAGACGACGAGCTTCCGGCCAGCATGCAGCTGGAGCTGCTGCCGTCCCGGGGACTCGCTGATGGTAGCTTTATCGCGTGGCCCCTCCTCCGGCGGGTAATCTGCATCAGCGAGAGCGGGCACGAAGGGGACCTCTGGCTCGTGGAGCCGAAATACGTATCCGAGGCCAAGGACGCCTTCTTCGAGGTCTACGACCACGCCTCGGCCCAGGATCGACGGTTGCTTCGTAGGGAGGTGGAAGAAGTCTACGGCAGCATTGACGGGTTTCGTGGGTTGGAGTGGGGTCTGTTGATGTGGACGTCGTGGTTTACGGAGATGGTTCCCTACCGGGACCTGAGCGCGTTAATGGATGAGTTGGCGAGGGGGAGTCGGCGGAAGGCGGAAGAGTGGACGCTGCAGTTTGATCCGAGCACGAGGAAGCTGGACGCGCGGTTGTATAAGACGGCGAGCGCGTTGGATCCGGGCAAGGAGGTGGAGAATGTGAAGGATGGAAAGGGGAATCTGGTGCTTTCTGCGCCAGGGACGATGTCGATGGGGCCGTTGGTGTATCCGGAGAATGCAATGACCACTCCCGTGGTCGATCTCTGAAGCTAGATATTCGTGATCAGGCATTGCAGACTATTGATATCGAACTTGATGTTTCAAATGACACATCGTTTGGCTCGTCTGAAGCTGCATATGACAGTGTAGCACTTGGCTTCTTCGCAATCAAGATGTTCGACAGATATATACTGAAAGAGTCAACTCAAGACTAGTCACTTCCAGGACAAACCTTGCCGGTCATTCCTTTTCTCGGGTTGCAGCCAACGACCTCATAGACAGCGAGCCGGCTGAAATTGCCAGGATGGGTAGCGCATTGATTCGACAAGCGGGTCAATCTCAGAATTCAAATTCCGAGTTTCCATAACACCATCACTCGCTGCCTTCAAGTATTTCGTCCCTCTATCCCTAGATGATTCCCAACGGAATACATATCAAACATCAGACTCCCCCGCCTAGTACTAACCACATCCTGAACTACAACAGAACTGGATTCTCGAAACAGGTATTGGAATCATCTCATATACATCAAAGTCACCTAACCCCTATCTCTGCGTACAGACGTCAATCAGGTTGACTGATAGTTTCAGTTTTCTTGGGACTCTTCGTGTTATGAATGGAAAGGTAAACTCAATTATATATCCTTTATCCACCTAAGCCTGGCAACAGAACGAGTCGGTCAAAAAGGGCGTTGTAATTTTCCGGGTATATCAACGAATTTAGGAATATCTTCTAAAGAATCGTTTGCCAAGATAACTTTTTGTACAAGTTCGCAGCGCATCTTAGGACCTCGAGACATAGTTGTGGATTGAGCAGTGGAAGAGCGTGATCTACCTCTTGTGTCGTCAAGTCACTCAATTACGTCATACTTTCACACCTCTTGCACCATCGTCAATGTCTTTGGACAAAATGAACAGTCTTTGCATCATCATCATCATGCTATCTTGCGCATTCGCCCCGCTTCATTCGCTTCAAATTCGCTTCTTCCCATCACAATCTTCTCCCACAACAATTCCTGCTGGGTATTGTCATTTAGTTTCGAGTATAAGGACTCTACCACAGTGCTCAGACAGCGGTTCCCTTCTTCTCAGTTTCGGCGACGACCTCATGGTTATCCTCATCAGCAACCGCGCCGTGGCGAGAGACCTTAAGATTGCCGGCGGCGATCTCCCGCTCAATGTCGTCAAGACGAGACTTCTTTTGATGGGTCTTCCAGGCTGGAAGACCAGAGTTGAAAACATCATCCATCTCCTCGAGCGTGAAGCCTTTGGTTTCGGGCGCGAAAAATGCGGTGTGAAGGAATGCCAGGGCATTGAATGTCGCAAAGATGTAATACATCTTGTAGTTGATGTTCCATACTGTTGAATGTCTGTTAGTCCTTACCTATGAGGGGAGTGCCATGCGGTTCGACTTACATAGAGGGGGAACGGCAAAAGCAAGAATCATGTTCCAGAACCAGTTGGTCGAAGTGGACAAAGAGACGGCCTTGGCGCGAATCTTACTCGGGAAGATCTCGGCAGGGTAAGTCCATGACACAGGACCCCATGTGGTGGCAAAGGTTGCGACAAAGAGGTAGGAGCAGGAGACGATAGCAGAGGAAACTGGCCTCTGGTTGAGGACGAGCCAGGTAACAGACTCGTTGTCGGGGTTGCGTGTCTCATTGGTGTTGGGCTGTCCATAGTACTGTTGAAGTGCGCCAGAAATGAACAGCCAGGTCATCATCATAAAAGAGCCGCCGACGAGCAAGGGACGACGGCCGAGCTTGTCGATAAAGACGATGGCAGGAAGAGTCATGACGACGTTGATGATATACTGAATAGATGCAGTAAGTAGCGGGTTGCCTATGCCGGCACCCTGCATGATGTAGACAATGTAGTCTGGATTAAATCAGCAACTTGTCGTTCACACTTGCAATTGGAACGTCGTTGCTTACACATCATGATGTTCATTCCGCACAACTGGGACCACATCTGGATACTCATGCCGAGCAACACACGCTTGTACATGCGGGGAGCGACGAGACCTTTGAAGCTAGAAATGTTCTCTTCTCGCTCGAATCGAAGGGCCTCCTCGATTTCTTGGTACTGTGCCAGGACTTTGGGGTGGTTGACGTCGCCGCTGCCGTGAAGATGAGCGAGGACCTTAATGGCTTCATCCCAACGGTCCTTGCTAGCAAGCCAACGAGGACTGTAAGGAAAGAAGAATAATCCAACAAAGAGGACAGCGGCAGGGACAATCTGGACGCCCCAAGGAATGCGGAAAGCGGCGGTCGGCTGGTCGGGATCAGTGGAGCCTTTTCCAATGCCCTCGGCGGCGCCGTACTGGATGAAGTATTGAATCAAGATACCCCAGGTAATTGCCCACTGCTGGAGCGAAACAACGCGACCACGGATCTCCTTGGGGGCGATTTCGGACTGGTAGACGGGCACAATGGAGGATGCGATACCAACACACATGCCCGCGATGACACGGCCGACACAAAGCATGCCGACGTTGACGGAAGCGCATTGAAGGATGGCACCGATGGTCCACAGAACACAGGAGAATTGGAGAGCGACCTTGCGAGAGTACTTGTCGGCAATGAAGGAGGAGACGAGAGATCCGACGAGGGAGCCGGCAGGCATGGAAGCCGTAATACCACCCTGGCGGTATGATGTAGGATTCCCAAAGTATCTCTTGTAGGCTCCAGTCCCTAGAACACCACTCATGGAACTGATATCAAAGCCGAAGAGGCCACCGCCTGAGCTTTCGTCAGTATGATCCTCAAGGTTTCAGGCCAGGCGAGAACTCAAGGCAGCATCACGTACCAATGGCGGCGAAACCGCAAATGAAGTAGATGTTTTGCGCCTGATACATGATGGCGGTGTTCGCACGAAGGCGACTATTTCTGTAGTTGTGTTCAGTTACAATGAGGTGAGTCGTCTGTCTAGGTGGGACGAGGTGAAGTTGGAATGTCGTATGTATGCGTCAGCGGAGTAGGTCTCTCATGGCTCGTGAATGGGCTTGCAGGTGGGCGCGACCGGAACTTAAAGTAAACGGGGAGGCTCGGTGGTTGTTTGCCTGCGGTACATCTGGACGCGGTTCGGGGGCGGCCGCGGTTGCCTCGTGTGTATGGTATCCGAATCGTAGGATGGGTAACGGCACGGGTCACCGTCGTACCGAGTTGCTGTGTCGAATGACGTTGGGCTACCAGTTGAGTTTATCATAGGGGGACCCTGTCTGGGGAGATAGGACGGACCGAATGCAAACGTTGGCACATGGGGTTGACAAGGTTGATGTGGAGGACTGCCAATCCCGTGGTATACGATGGGGTCATGGGTAGAAGCAGGCGCGGAGGAGTATTGAAGGGAACAGACGATCAATTCCTCGAAGAGCGATAGGGCCATTGTGTGACAGGTAGGACGAGTGGGCGAGCATGGCGAAGGCACAGATGTCTGGGCCGTTGCCAGGTCGTCGGTTGAGATGGTGAGGCCGAGGAGAGATTGGGTAGGAATCGCATGCCTGCATAAAGTACTCCGTACCTTAGTTGGAGAGCTCAAAAAGAGGTGACCAAATGAGGCACTTTGGAGTATGGAGAATCAGGAGCTCCCAGGGTACCATTGATCATCCGGAGTGCGTGAGCAGATGTGTGGTGTGTGGGAGACGAAATGCGGAGAAGAGGAGAGTTAACTCAGGATGGGAGGAATCGGCAGCTGTGAGTGGCTGGCGAGATTGGATGATTGGCGATGTTACCAGGCGAGCAGCGTGGGAGACTCAGACGAGAAAGCTGGGCGAGATCCCGAATGCCACACGGGCGATAGAGGTGTCGTTGCGTTGCACGTCTCATGCTGTGCTCGTGTCGGTGGTGTCACTGGGCGTGTCCAACTTCCAAATACCATATTGCTGCAGCCAGGTATATTGCTGCAGAAATGTGCAGGCCGGGGACTTGGTATGCAGTTCAGCTGTTCATCTGTCTGTCTGCTGGTCTGCCTTGCCTGGCTACTCGTCTCTATTGCCTGAGCTCTCTCTTACGCAGTCGACTATCATAACTGATAACCTTGGTGATGTGGGCCGTGGACATGGATGGACATGTCACATCTGGGCTGTTGTCGGGTTTCCTGACACTGGTGCCATACTGTCAGTTTTTTAGTCATGAATTCATAGCAACCGATAACTGCACAAAAACGAACCGACACATGGAAGCAGGCCAAACTTGGTCAATGATACCTCAAGTGAGGTACGCAAGGCAGGAGATATCCGTACGATAAGATACCTGGAGCAGGTCATCGATTTCAATACGTACCTTACCGCAGGTACCTAGTCCAGTGTCAAACGGATGGGAAGGAGAAACACATGGTTCATTCGCCCTTTCCCTCCCTCATCGCTCGTGTGTCTTTTCCGTCCGGACCCCTGCCCGCTGTCTGCCCCGGGCGGGTCAAGAACGGTGGACCACCTCCCGACGTTCCTCCTCCCAATTGACGGACCAATCTAAGCGGCCCATCTCCCCCGCTCCTGACTTGGATGATGATGGAAATAAGGACCAAACACGCAACTCTAATGCTGGCCAGTCATACCACGGCAAGGGCGAAACGACTGCCTTACCTACCGAAGGTAAATACCTACAGTGGACACCTGGTAAGGTATCCTTAACTTGATACCGAACATGTAGGAAAAGGCTGGACAAAAGTTGGGCGCTATCCCTGGTAGCTAAGGTAGGCGGATTTGCAGCATGCCAAGGCGATTTGATCCAGATGTCATCACTCAGCGCCAGGGTGGTTGATGTCTTGGTGCCTTTTCGGCTGCTGCTCCGACGAAGGCAGGCTTGGGGCAAACTTGGCGATACAGAGTCGCCTCGGCCATCTGACGAAAGTTGCCTACCTTACCCGCACGTATGCAGCTGGCAAGTACCTAGATGCCGGACAGTAGACAAAGAGTCCGAATTCGTGCCACAAAATCTGACCTCCAGGCGTTTTCAACTATTCGTACGCTGCTGGGCCTTTCCCAAGGGACACATGAAAAAGAGCCGGGAAGGGGAGTATCCTGCTAAGTGAACCTCAGTATGGAGAACAGACGGAGAACCGGCGGAAAATTCGTAAAAGCCCACATGGGAAGCTTTCTATTGTTCCAGCTGCAGAGGAGATGAGGTATCCATACCCAAGGTACCTAAGCTCATCTGGTTTCTACCACTCCACGTTACAAATAACAAACTCACCGAAAGTTCAGAGTCTTGGCTGTCGGAAAAGTTTTTGCAGTTTCTGATCATCACGGGACAATGCGACACGAAAGCGAAGTCGAGGCAGGCACAGCAGGAGAGCTCTCTCCAATTACCAGACAGCTCTTTCCCCCGTCGACCCCAATTCCTTCCCTCGCCCCACACCCCCAACATGGGAAGGATCCATCCTGGCTCCTTCTTCCCCGGCCTCACCTCACACCTCCCTCGAGGCAGCTACGGGTAGCACCACAACCTCCTCACCCCATTGATCCTTCCTCCCAAAGGTTGAGAAACCTATAATGCAATTGGTTGAGAGGAGGCACGAACGGTCAGTTCTTTCTTTTCAACAATATGAACTTATGCCGGTAGGGTGACTTCGACACCACCTTATTTGTCCCCTTCGTCAAGCCACCCGCATCATCTTACCTACAGACTCCAGTGCTCCAATCCGATTCCCGTCTCAGACCGGGCCAGATGTCCGTCCAACAGCCCGTTACCAGCACCTCCAACCAGATGACATTGCCAGCATCTCCAGTGAGCAATGCCGTCTAGTTGCTTCCGCCATTTCTAGTCTTGTGCCTCGACTACTGCACAGGTTACCTCGTCCGAACGCCACGCCTTTGTCTCGCCACGATCACTTCGAATCCTTTCTCTTTCGGCCCTCTACCCCCAGCAAGTATCTCGCGGTTTCCTCGTCCGACCATTCGCAATCATCATAGTTTCAACAAGCACTCTAGCCTCTAGAGTCCCGCCGATGATACAGCGACGTGCCCCTCCAGCACATATGCGGACCTCGCCATATGACGGCCTCCTGAGCCCTCCTTTGCCGACCTGACAAGGCTTCGGTGTGCTCAAGCTACTTTGGCTCCTCTCATTTTCGAATTCAAGCTTATTAGCAAGCCGTCTGCTTGCGGGGGAATGGCTCCCGAGCTGCGGGCTTTCAAGCTTGGTCCCGTCCTTGTTTTGCGGGCCAATTCTCGGACCACTTCTCCGACACGAGCAACCCAATGTGCCAACCGGTCAACGTTCTCCGCCAAGACGACCAGTAATTACAGTACATTCGCCATAGTCGATTCCTCCCTCTCCCAGAACCCATGTCTATTCATCGCCGGCCCCGATGATGGTGCAGAAACTGACCAAGGCACACGCAATCTTGAAGCCTCGTTCCATGCCACGGTAAATTTGAGCGTCTGTCAGTTGAAGTATGACAAGACAAAATCATCCAACCTCGCTTTCTCGCAGTCTTACCAGAGGTCCATCTACCAACGTTGTCTCTTTGGCGACATTACCTAAGGCATCTCCACCAATTTGACATCTTGGCCACTGCTTAGCGCCTACTTGACCCGGCCACCACTCCGCGAGGCCCAGAAAAGACACTGGGGCCCTTGCCCGCTGCTGCGATGCGTGTGCCTTGAATGGATCGCTTCTCATCAGTCGCACGTTCATCACCCCTCGGCCTTGCACCTGATATTTCAGAAATTTCACATTTTCCTGCCCTTGTATCTTGGCACGTTCAAAGCTACGGAAGGGTTTTTCTTCTTGTTCCGGCGGCAACACGTCCTCGACATTAGGTACCAAGAGGTTACGGCATTTCATAATCCCTTTCCACTTGGGGGCTCCGAATTGATGATTCGCCTAGCGCATCTAGGTATTACACCGCAGACTCCCCGAAGAAGGGCCCCGTCTACCACCGTCCTACCGGTCATTCGCTGCTCCTTCTACGGAGATCGGCACGCCCAACTGCTGCATCTAACTCTGTACGCCCTCCAGACAAGATACCGGACGAGCAAATCCTCCAACGGTCCCCCGCAACTCCTCGACAGCAAGACGAGACTGTAACGTTACCCCGATGCGGGGTTTCATATTGACCGAACTGACTGATCTCCTTTTGCTGCTTTGGTCGGCAATTCGTGGCCGACGAGCTGGACATCAGCCCGTATCCTGTGATTGTATTCGGATCCCGGACGAACTACATACGGACCGAAAAGCTTCGATCGAACGTAGATGGTGCACACCTTGCTTGGCTCTGCCAAAATGTCGGAAATCCCAAGCATCGGGTAGCTTGACCCTGGCCTCAGAGTCGCATGGGCTTTCCAGCCATCCGTTCTTTCATCTGGGAACGCACCCTCGGTTCCCTACCCGGGCTGCAGAAGCGGCAGCACCTGGACAAGCCCGTAGCTTATGGGCTCAGAAGCTGCATCGCTAACAAGATTTCGATGGAACAAGAGACCCTACAGCGTCATCTAACAAGGCTCCTTCGCTACAAGTGATATACCTTTCCTTTGCATGCTTATTTGACCCCTTGGCGTTCGTTACCGTGGTAGTCCTCTTCCATGTTCTTACAAGTTCTTCCACTACCCGCGAAAACTTGCCCTCCGGAAACAGCAAGGTCATAATGTTGAACTAGACAGCATGCGGTGATATCAATGAAGTGACACTAATACTGGTGAGACGCCAAACGCAAACAAGGGCGTGTTCAAGTATGGGTGCTTCAATGAGTAAATGCCTATAAACTTTAGAAGGCATGGACTTCAATTACAAGGCTGCAAGGGTAATGACTCTCTGGCCATGTAAGCCGTTTCGTCGGCTGAGGAGTCTGTCCAGGACTTCCCTCCTTCGTTGGGCTAAACCCTCGGGCATGCCACTGGCAGCAGAGGCTGCACCGGACCTATGTGCTCTTGGTATGACTTCTTCCTCTCCACACCCATGCGCAAAGGCACAGAAAATGCGGTGAGAAAAGAGGCCGACAAACTCCAAAGAGCGTCGGCCAGAATTGTTTGTTGTTTATCTGCTTGCAAGTCCTCGTGCCAGATTCTCGTAAGAAGATCTGCCTCATCGCTCACACCCCCACCTGTGCAAGCCCCCGCGAGGAAGCTTGCCAGGAGGTCCTGCCATCTGTGAAATCGTCAGCAAGTCGCCGGGCCACGCAGGCCCAGCGTAGTAGTGCCAAGTGAGCAGAGGCTTCCCGCTTCCCGCTTCCCGGGAGGAACGGTTGCGCTGCCAAGTAGAAGTAGTAGAAAAAGTCCTTGTTCATTGTTGAGCCCACTAGGGCTGGGCCCAAATGCTTCGTTGGGTAGCTGGCCAGCAGGGAAAGGGGTAAGAACACGCCACCAGGACGTGTTTGCGCAGAAAAGGACCGGTCCTGTGACAGTCAATCCTCGTCGACACCCCCTCGTCGCAGCCAACCAGCTGCCGTTATCATACAACTTTGCTTCGAAGAGAGACGAAACAATAGAGAAAATAAAAAAGATGGAGAAAGGGGAAAACTTCGAGAGGAAAAAAATAGACTTGACTCGAGAAGTCAAGCCAACCAGGATATGGGGGTGGGTATCGTGAGAAAGAAACAGCCGCCTCTCCTTGACTCCGTCTCCAAACTGGGGTGCTTGGTCCCCGCCCATCTAAACAATGCAGCGCAAAAGATTCCTGTAGCCTGGTAATTCGCTTCCCTTCCGACATATCATGAAACCCCCATCCTTCCTGTATCAACAGTTGGAACGATGCTTTTCGAATTGCGACTCGCAACAAGAGCTGGGATCTCATCTTGAGTCGTACAGCTGGCGCAGGTGCGCGCGTTGGTGACGGAACGAAGAGTAGTTACCAGCGTAGATAGTCTCGAGTATGCTGGCAGGTCCATCGGCGCGTGGACCGGCTTGGGCAAGCTGCACCATTCTCTTCTTCAGCATCTGATGTGCAATGCTGAACTCTTCTAGAATTCGCCCAGCGTTGCTTGAGCCACCAGAGATATCATTTGCGGGGTTATTGGGATCAATGACGGAAATGCGATCAAAGTTCTTGTAGACGACGTCTT